ATAAGACGTACGTGTGTGGACAATATTAAAATGGATCTTAGAGAGATAGGTTGGGATGGTATGGATTGGACTGATCTGGCTGAGGATAGGGACCAATGGAGGACTCTTGTGAACACGGTAATGAACCTTCATTCATGAGTAATCTGTCAGACGACGACAGGTCCACAGCCTCTTCCTCTTCCACAGTTCCTCCACTTAATGCGATCTNTTAAATTAAGACCTCTTATTTCGGTAGATTTTCATGTTACTTTCAAACTGTCAAGTTCTTACCCATTCGATTTGGGGCCAAGTTAATAAGGCATTCCTTTCCTTTAATTTTGTCGTTACTTAACAACGGCCATTAGCTTGACTATATACAGTCGAATGGTAGGGCTACAAGAAAATGATGAATTAAGAGAATCTGGAAGGAAACGGTAGCTGCCTAATCGAGGTATTATCCCGAATATTGTTTACAAAGCGTCCCTAGTACATTCTGCCAGAATTACAACCGGGTAGGAAGACACATTCAGTCCAGAGCCTTTTGTCTTCTCGTCTGCTGTCCATAAACATAAAAATCAGAATATGCAAAACTATAATTTTGCCTGTGGTTCTGTATAGGTGTGAAACTTGGTCTCTGACCTTAAGGGAGGAACATAGACTGAGGGTGTTTGAAAACAGGGTGTTGAGGAGAATATTTAGACCGAAGAGGGATGAAGTGACAGGAGGTTGGAGAAAACTGCATAATGAGGAGCTTCATAGCTTGTACTCTTCTCCAAGTATAATGAGATTTATCAAGTCAAGGAGGATGAGGTTGGCAGGGCACGTAGCACGAATAGGGGAGAAGAGGAATGCATATAGGATATTGGTGGGAAAGCCGGAAGGAAGGAGACCACTGGGAAGACCAAGGCGTAGGTGGATGGACGGTATTAAAATGGATCTTGGGGAGATAGCATAGGATGGATAGGATTGGATTTATCTGGCTGAGGATAGGGACCAGTGGATGGCTCTTGTGAACACGATAATAAACCTTCGGGTTCCATAAAATGCTGGGAAATTCTTGAATAGATGCAGATTTGGCTTCTCCTCAAGAAGGGCTCAGCTCCATAAGTAAGTAAGTAAGTAAATAAATAGGTAAGGAATACACATATAGTGTTTCGTTAAAAGAAATATAAAGTCTTAACAATTTTCTCTTAGCAAAATAGAAATTCGACATGAAATTTTCCACGGAAGGCATCTCATGTAATCAGCAGTGTGCTAAGGCTGTGGGGGTGGATGTGATCACAACGGACCTTATAACCATGGCGGAGTGTGAGAAAGTTCTGTGGCGCACAGCAGAGGGCTACTGAGCCTAGCACCGCAGTTCGCGTCGGGCCGTACAAGCAGACAGTTGCTCGTTCAGTGTTCTACTGTACTTAACAGGATAACGGATTATCAGCTATCGTAACACAGGTGTTTTATTATCGCCTCGGAAATTTCTGTCGCTATTCTCTGCGTTGTGTCACACGAGCGTGTGTATCAAGTGTCGGTAACATGTGAAGTGATCGGACTTTTCAACATAGAATAATATCATATTTCGTAATCGAAAAAAGACAGTATTTCCAGTTACCGGACTAAAATAGGTAAATAGAATTTCTTCAGTTCTCTCATACAGCTTGCATGCATAGATCATGTATATTTATAAATCTTACATTAAGTGTAATATTCTTAGTGTTGATGTTTGTATTTGTGAATCTTATTTACGTTAGTGTAGTTCACAGATATTTGTATCTCTCTACTGAAGAGAGGAGGAAGCCTCAGATTTTCTTAATTCTTGTTTGTTTAACGATAATTTATCAACTGAACAGTTTATCCTATGTCGAAAGGTAGGATTATTCTATGAATGATTTTGAAGGGGCATGAAAGAATAATGTGGCCTGTTACAATGTACTATCCCAGAATTTATCTGACGGTACTTACTCAGGCCGTGCAAAATTCATATCACTGGTGTCGTGGACGATTTTATAAATCTTGCAAACACGAAGAAGAGGTGGTGACAATTCGACCAGGACATTTCTCAAAATTAAGTTGTAGTATGAGACTTGTAGTTCGCTAAATGGGGCAAATGTATTGCTAGAAATTGCTGCACCCATCTTTAGTACAGCTAAAGCCTTAGATCTCAGTATATTTGTTGCTCACTTATTCAGTGCCCCTGGTATTATTGGGAAGAACAAGAGAGAATTTCTATCTATATATTTCTTAATTAATTAACAGAACGTTATACGAGAATTACATCTATCTAAAGACGACAGTAGGGTCAATTTCCAAAGCGTGTGGTTTATAAAATATGCCTCAGGCAATGGGAAATGTGGAACATAATATTAGTAAAGTCACCAACAGGTGTCAACATGACTGATTAATGTATTCGCCTTCTATACGATAGCAGTTAGTGTCAAGACAAACTAGAATTTATAGCGTTAGAAGTCCATTAAGCTGGACTAATATTTAGACGGACACTTGAACTTCGTGAGTTTGGATGATATATTATGGGTGGCAGACCATATGCAGTTTGTTGAAGCTAATATTTTGAAGAAAGAATATTCTGATATCTACATAAAATAAATATAATTTATCGTCGCAAATTAAATACACGTCTTTCCAAAACCAAAAATTTAGAATTGTGGAAGAGAATAAGAAAATGTCGAAATTGAGGTTCTCTCAGCGGTGACTTGCAAAGAATATGATATTCTGGGGTGTAATGCTGTGAATTTCGGTAATTTACCGACATTTCGGGGGCTTCCACTGAACTACACGGCGTTAGGAATCAGGCGAACATACATTTCAAATACATTTGTGATGTTAAGGAAAAGAAAATTTAGCCAAAAAATAGTCAAAATGAGAGGCGTATCACAAAACTCCCCTTATTGAAAACATTAAATGAAAACGAGTCTCCGAAACATTGTGTATTTTAAATAAAAACAGGGCGATGTATAATGTCCAGAAACACTATAAACTGTATTTTTCTCAGAGTTTCAAATGTAACACATAAACACTCTGTATATTAGAAAGTGAAAAATCTTTGATAGAGATTTGAAGTTCTCAAAAAAGTAATTATGAAGCTTAACTGTCTCTTGGGATGTGATGTCGTGTAGTGTGGTATATATTTATTAAAGCTTCGGAGGAATGTCTGCTTCCATCTACAGGGTATAAAGTGATGGTAGTGATGAATGAATGAATGAATGAATGACTGGGCCTTCTCGGCCCTTGCACCGCGACCACAGTGATCTATTGTGCTTCCCCTTCTAATTATCCCCTCAGCAATCCTGTGCATCGAATGAAGAACAGGATTTTGTACGTAGGGGCATCGAAATAGTCACTTGGTTCCATAAAATATTGACCCAAGTGGCGTAATCTTAAACAAGCTAAGGCCTCACATTCACACAGGATATGTGTAGCTGTTTCAGTTTCTTCTTGACACCTCTCACAAGTGGGACTAACACTTAGTCCCATTTTGAGGAGGTGTCCTTTAAGGTGACAGTGTCCTTTAAGGTGACAGTGTCCTGTAAGTAGTCCCACCACCCATCGTAGTTGGAGGTGATGGTAGTAAGTATACTCTCATGGCCTGAACAGCATGTTCATCTCCGACACATCGGTAACCACCTACCAGACTAAACGGTGTCACATCCCAGAAGGCAATAATTCTCAAAATGTGTCCCGTTTATTGCTGAAAATTATAAACCCTGGGAGATAGGGAATAATTGTGCCGAAAACAGAGAGCACTACAACGCGAGATGTAAGTCTTATTTTTTTTTCCTTGGCATTACAGCCCCCGTGGGCCTAGGCCTACCTCCATGAACATCTCCGTTCACTTTGGATTTTCTAGACCTTACACATTCGGTAGGACTCCTTGGGCGGGTGATCAGCTCGTCGCAAGGCCTCTACCTGTACACAAACACAGAAAAACACACACATACAAACTAAACATCCATGCCCTGAGTGGGATTCGAACCCACGATCCAGGTTTCCAAGTGAGCGAAGACAGCACATGCCTTAGACCGCTCGGCTACCGTGACCGGCGCAAGTCTTATTAGACTTATATAATTAGAAATTGAATTGGCTACTATGAGGTTTCAGATTCTCGACGTGACACCGTACAGTCAGGTAGAATTTTATTGACGTTTCTGAGGAACACACTGCCTCCATCTTCAGAGTCGAAGAGTAATCGGAAGATAAAAAAATCCAGAATCAAGAAATTACTCTGAAAATGGATGCAGTTTTATTCTCAGAAATGTCGTTATACTACTACCAGACTACACTGCATCACATACCAAACGATAATACCCTTGAAATAGGACATTTTCTCATGCTCAAACTCTGATAATTGATTGAATGGGGGTAGCAGTGCTGTCTGCAGTCTAGCTCCAACTGTCAGAACAGCTGCCATGAGATACTCGTATAAATACTAGGTCCAACAAGAAGAGCTTCCCCTGTTCTTTTGCCAGTCGGAAGATGCGAATAATGTTATTTAGTTATGTGTCATTGCGGTATATCGTTTCGTCTCATCACGCAAGCTAATAGACCTAAATGTACAAAGTTTGTCTTATTTTATTTTACTTATTTATTTGGGGCACCCTGTAGCGTTGTTGGTTGAGGCACTATGCTACAAACCACAAGGCCGTGGGTTCGAGTTCCGATGACGTGGATTTCTTTCAATTGACCTAATCCTTCCAGCTGCATTATGGCCCTGGGGTCGACTCAGCCTCTAACAGAAATGAGTACCAGGAATCTTCCTGGGGGATAAGGGCTGCCGGTGCGTAAAGCTGACAAGCTCAGCGCCATCTGTGATTCGATTGTCTAGAAAATGTGGGAGCCTCGACGTCTCATAACCCTATGAGCTTCCATGGCCTGTTACAGGGGTAGCTTTGACTTTATCTTTTATTTTTATGTATTTATTTGTCTTTTCTCTCTCTTTCTCCCAAACTCATTTTCTTTCTATATGTCCTCATGCTCCTGTTTTCTCTTTTTGATTATGCCATGTCTTCTCATTACTTTGCAAAGTGCATCCTGTGATTTCTCATGCATATTAATAGTGTTGTTGATAGTTTCCTCGCCGATTTGTCTTGTTAGTTCAATGAGAGTGTCCAGAAGCTTCATGTATGCATCCAATTTTATCTAACTCCGTGGTCTGTAGTCCGCAAGAGAACTGTACCGACCGAACTACCGTCGTTTGTCGGCGAAGCTAGTGTCAACATTTGCGGATAGAGGGTGTTACGTGGTTAGCACAACGGGTCCCCACGGCAATTAATTTCAGTTTTCTAGACCGGAGCCGCTATTTCCTTGAAATAGCTCCTCAATTATCATCACGAGGCTGAATGGGCCCCGTTCAAGACCCACTAATTCTCAGAAAATCTGGTAGCCCCGGGAATTCTGGATCTGTAGCCAGGAACTCTGACCACTAGACCACACAGGCGGTCTGCATTCACTTTTGGAACTGAGAATTTGAACGTAAGAAGATGAAGGTTTTGTTGCTCTGCCACATTTTCCAATCATACTTAAGTATATGTTTTTTTTAAGTCTTCAGTATTTCGATATGAGATTCGTATGGACGCACAGAAACCAAATGTCTGGTCTAATTTGTATCATGCATGACTGGAATTTGCTGTCGGTTGACTGGATGCCATAGTATCAGACGAAAATGTTGGTAATATCTTCTTGGCTCTGTACTTTATTTCTGGAGGAGTTCAGATTGAAAGGAATTCGAAGATAATTAACTTTTCTTGACCAAGGAAACGAATGGCTGAATGATCTTAATTCCCGCAGACGCCGTTATGAAAGCAGGGGTGAGGAGCAGTGCTATTGTTTTGTCTAGGTTAATGGGAGTTAGTTTGTAAACCACTGCTCTAGAAGTGGTGAAGTACTGAAGTTTCCGCATGGCAAATAAATCCGAATATTACTAAAAAAATCATTTTCTTACTTCATAGGAAACGCACTGTGTATCCATGACAGCGATCAGTCGGTTAATGACGTTTAGGGAAGTAATCGATCTGTATTCTGAGAATGGGGGCCCGCGGTAGCGTAGTTGGCTGAGGCACCATGCTACAAGCTGGAAGGTCGCGGATTCGATTTCCGTTGGATTTTTTCAATTTACCTAATACTTCCGGTCGCACTATGGCCCTGGAGTCGACTCAACCTCTAACAGAAATGAGTACCAGGAATCTTCCTGGGGTGGGGGGGGGTAAAGGGCGGCCGGCCCGTAAGGCTGTCAACCTCACTGGTATGAGTGTGAATATAGAAGGGGTTTGGATTGAGGATCGGATTTATTGGACTCTGTGATACAGCGTGTGACTATACAATTCGTTATCACACACACAGACACACGTGTCCACAGTCACTTCACTAGCCGTTGCTCGGTAGCGGCTTCTAACGGCGGGGGGGTCCCCNGTTCCCGTCCTCTGGTTTCCCGAACTGTACCGCCTCAGCTACCATCTTTTTACAGCAACAGCTCAGAAAGACTGACTCAATTACTCACCAATCAACTAACTCAACTCATCTTAACTGAGGGACTGTCCTGCTTATAATATATCGGCACGGACCGCACATAAAACACCGTTCCTCTGTTGTTTAAGGGCCGTTGTCTAGTACG